ATTCTTAGGCTTTTCTGACAGGAAATATTTCTGAGGCTATATAATCAGTCATGGGGTATGCTTGTCAATACATTTTTTTCTGCAGAAATAAATCAGAAATCCTATCAAAATGGCATTATGAAAGAATCCATTTCCCTTAGTAGTACTCCTCATGAAATGGCCATGCCTGAAGTTTCTGAGAATTTTTATTTAGATGAAGGTTGTATATTTAATGTATGTACTGGCCATTTTCTAACCAGCCAATCTGCATAAATATTATATCCTAAGCAGGAAGAAAATAGTTGCAATCTAGAGCCAGCCTCTTCCTTATAAGCCTGCATCGCCTTCCTTTTTTCCCTTGGCTTGCCTCTTTTACTTTCCAGACACTGAATGCCACCCTAAACTTTCTTTATTCCCCTCCCCTACCCACATACATGCTCACCCAGACAAAGAAAGAGAAACCAAGGAAACAGAACCTGTAGGGATGAATAGGGATATCCTCTACAATGCGCCTTTGATTCTCTTTGCTGTTTTCTGGACAGGAGTGGATAGATTCATTCCTTTTCCATTTTGAAAATTTATCTGGACTGGGCATGGTGGCTCATGCCTATAATCTCAGCACTTTGAGGGGCTGAGGTGGGCAGATCACTTGAGGTTGGGAGTTTGAGACCAGCCTGACCAATGTGGAGAAACCCCATCTCTATGAAAAATACAAAATTAGCGGGGCGTGGTGACACACACCTGTAATCCTATCTACTCAGGAGCCAGAGGCAGAAGAATCACTTGAACCCAGGAGGTGGAGGTTGCAATGAGCTGAGATCACGCTATTGCACTTCAGCTTGGGCAACAAGAGTGAAACTCTTTCTCAAAAAAAAAAAAAAAAATTGTCTGTGCCCATTCACTCATCTGCTCATTTATCCATCCATTCATTCATTCACCGTTCATCTGTCAGGAACAGTGTTAGACACCGGGCTGGGTTCTGTGGATGAAAAGACAAGTCCTGGCACTGATTCCTAGACATAAAAGGGACGGTAACTGAAAGAGTCATGTGGCCAGGGTCTTACGAGATTTGTAAACAAAGGCTTTGGGAGCCCTGGGGATGGAGAGGAGACCACATTATGCCTTCCTTCCTAGGGACCATAGCCATGTGCCTGAATTTGACAAGAGGAGAGTCAGAGGCTGCTGGAGTGAATAAGATGAAGAGTGGGTGTCTGGATTGTTTTCCAGACAGTGATTTGGGGCTGGACTGATCCTTGTCAGTGTGAAGTCAGGGTGTCGCCCACTCATCCATGCCACTGACTCAGGTACTATAGGAGAGTGATTGATTAGCCTGAGGTGGAGGTCTCAGGTATGTTGTTCATTTCCTAGATGAACCCATTTAGGATTTGCTGAGAATCTGCTACCGATAATGCTAGATGTCCTTTGTGCTTCACCCTGATTTATAGCACACCTGTGATTTAGGTGTAATTTCTTCCACAGATGACCACACTGAGGCTGAGGGTTATGTAACACCCTGTCACTCTGTCTGTCCTTGATTGTGTCCCTCCCCTAATTCTGACTGCTGCATGCTCAGGAATGAGGAGTCCTGTTGTAGAGGGCATGCCGGAATGCGTGCCATCAGTCTTCTCTCACACCACCTGTGAGATGGCTTCATGGCACATATGTATATAGGCCTGCTCCAGGGAAACAGGAATCCAGTCTTAGTGGTTTCTATATTTGGCTCTCCAACACCAGACATGGTGCCCACTGGCTAGCTACAGATGACTGTTGAGGAAATTAGTGAGTGAGTGACTCTCTGGGTATGCCTTTGTTTGGTTTCTAGAAGAAAAAGATTAAGTATAACACTTTGTATCCTACAAGGTGTTTTAGCTTTTTTGATATTCGTGGGGGAAACAAAAGCAAAGCCTCTGATTGACTTGTGATTCTGGATGATGATAAACTGTATTTCCCGGAGTATTGTAAATATTTATGCAAGAAAAGGGTGAGATTTAATGAGTCCCAGCTTTCTTTAGGTACAGATGACATGCCAGGCTAATGTTGGTGCCTTGGGGATTATGAGGGCCTCTACCTTCCCCTGAGCTTTGTTCAGGGCCTTCCCAGCAGGTCACAGCTCATGACATCAAACAAATTGGTGTTGATGCATGAGCCTTTGAGGCTGATATAAAGAAGATCTGATATATATATCTTCAGAGCAGACTTTGGCATTAGATGTTGACTGCAGTCTCTTCCTAGTTGGTACAGGCTTTGTAGGAGTTCCTGAAAGGGGAATGGGGACTATAGCCTTATCTTGAAAATAAAAACAACCCAAAACACAACAAACTAACATTTCTAGAGTTAATATGTGCCAATCACTCTGCAAAATATTTCTGAGAAGTCACTTATTTATTTATTTATTTTTAGTTGAAGTCTTGCTCTGTAGCCCAGGCTGGAGTGCAGTGGCACAATCTTGGCTCACTGCAACCTCCGCCTCCTGGGTCCGGTTCAAGAAGTTCTCCTACCTCAGCCTCCCAACTAGCTGGGATTACAGGCACAAGCCACCATGCCCAGCTAATTTTTGAATTTTTTAGTAGAGATGGGATTTCACCATTGTCCAGTCTTGAACTCCTGACCTTGTGATCAGCCCACCTCGACCTCTCAAAGTGCCACGATTACAGGCGTGAGCCACTGATCTGGCCAAAGCCATTTATTCTTAAGTCTTGTGTTTCCCTAGCTTGATATATGTACTCTGAGGACTACACATGGTTTTTTGGGATGCCAGGAACATGTGTGGAAGGAGAAGAAGGGGAGGAAAAAAATGAAATAAAGATTGAGTCCACAAGTCATGCCCATATTCTTAGGAATGGACTGCAACCCAGCTGTTGCAGTATGAGCTGGTAATGGAACCAGAGTCTTAATTATTAATTTAAGAATAAAATTGTCTGTCATATGCGTTAGTTTTTCTAGTCTGAAACTATTAATACAGCTCTCCTACAGGTCTTAAAAATTACTTGGATATATTTAAGGATTGAGTAAATGAGTTAATAGGTTTATATTGTAGATGCCAAGATTTTCACTGAGAAAGGATGAACATACATGAAATCAAGGGAGGCAACCAAGAACCTGCATGGATGAATAGGATATCAGTCTCACCTGGTGATTTCCAATATATGTGTGTTTGTGACAAATTGATATTTGCATGTGTGTATTTATGCACATATATGTGCATGTTACATGGTGATTTCCAATATATGTGTGTTTGCGACAAATTGATATTTGCGTGTGTGTATTTATGCACATATATGTGCACATGTTACATGAATGTATTTCATTTTTCTGTTTACTGGAACGATTGAGAAGCAAAGATACTCCTGTAATAAGAGCACGCCTAAGCACCTGTATCCTAGCCTCTGGTGTCAGTGCCCTCTAAACTAAACCATACTCCTGGAATGGCTAATTTCAAGGCTGGAGCAAGATGATCCTGAAACATCTTATCAGATAAGATAGTAAGGAACTGTTGTTTAAAAAAAAAAAAAAAAGATTTCACAAGAATCAGTATGAAGGGGCTCTTATTGGTCAAATCTGGGACAGTTTGAACACCAAAATAATGAAGTACTGTATGAACTATAAACAGCTGGGGAGGAGGAATTCATCAACCCATAATGACAATGGATGAATAGAAGGACCGATGGATGGATGGATCGATGGATGGATGGTTGATGAATGGATGGGTGCAGGGAAATATGGGGGACTCCTGCTTACCAATTGCCAACTAACTAATAAATGTGGATGGCGTGGTAGAGCAGGAAAAATCAGCATACACCACCATTGCAGTAACAATTATGCACAGAACTCAGTGGATGCTAATTCTAAACAGGTTTATGAGGAACAGGATATTTACATAGTGACAAAAGTGTCTTTCACAGATTGCTTTAGTGTAAGAGAAAAATAGTAATTAAGTGGAGAAATTGAACTACACTTTGATCAGGATCAAAATTAACATCACCATTGAAGGGTAAGCAAACATCGTGTGCCTTCAGGTGAAACATCCTGAGAAGGAGTCAACATCCTAATTCGGGATTCTGGCCAAAAGTGTATAACCTGAAGCTAATCATGAGGAAACTTAAGACCCATGCTTTATTAAAATGCAGGAGGAGGATGAATTGTATCCTTCCAAAGTATAAATACCATAAAACAAAGACAGAGGAAATGGTCCTGATTAAAGAAGCCTAAGAGATGTGGCAACTAAATGCAATAATTGACTCTAAACTGGATTCTGTACTTGGGATTTTTAGGGTAGGGAAGGTGGATACCATAATGGCCTGTTTTTAGATTCTACACAAAGCGTGTTTCTAAACTGCTGAATCCAAACATAACTGAAACTCTGGAAGGTGAATGCACACATCACAAACCAGTTTCACAAATAGCTTCCCATTCGTTTTTATCTTGAGATATTTTTTTTTCACCTTAGGCTTCCATTAATTCTCAAATGTCCCTTTCCAGACTCTACACAAAGTGTGTATCTAAACTGCTGAATCAAAACATAGGTTCAACCCTCTGAGGTGAGCGCACACATAGCAAAGCATAGTGCTGTTATTGGGTCAGTTGACCAACTGGAGTATAGATGGGAGATTAAAGTATGCTATCAGTGTTCAGTTTCCTGAAGTTGATATATATGCATATACACATACACTTGTGTGTGTGTGTGTGTGTGTGTGTGTGTGTGTATATATATATATATACACATACATACATACATACTTATTCTTTCTCTCTCTCTTTGTATATGCACACACACACAAAAACCAATGGATGAATCTGGGTAAAGAGTGTTAGTATAAACAAGTATTGTTTATTTTATTTGTATTCCTGCAAGTTTTCTGTAAGTTTTAAATTATCCTTCAATATCATGTTATAAATTTTGCTTTATATCTTGGCCAAATGAATGATTGCTTTTCAGATGAATATTTTTTATTTTATGCCCTTTCTTTTCCTGTTCTATCTCTTATTTCTTTTCTTCCTTTTTTTTGTGTCCCTTCTTTTAGAAATCCAAGGCTTGTGAGAAGGTCATTTCTGTGGGTCAGACGGTCATCACAAAGCATCGGAACACCCGGTATTACAGTTGCAGAGTGATGGCTGTGACATCGCAGACCTTCTATGAGGTCATGTTTGATGATGGCTCCTTCAGCAGAGACACATTTCCTGAGGATATTGTGGTAAGTAGACTTCCTTGAGTGCTTGCTACCCAGCGTCATTAAAAAAAAAAAAAAAATCCAAAGTAGCTGAGCCCGTCAGAGTTTTTCTTTTGGCTTTTTGAATAGCGCATTCACTTGATTTATAAACTTTATCATTCTAAGTAACATCCACATAAACTTAGACTGATCTTCCCAGATTCTTTTAATTGAGTGAGAAATGTTATCTGGCCAAGCAATAAGGGAGCAGGCCTCAGGACCTAATCACCTCTTGAAGGCCCCGCCTGTTAATGCTATCACACTGGCAACACCTGAATTTTAGATGGGATTTATTGAAACCATAGCAGATATGAATTCACCTATTCTTTTCTGTTACAAGATGTGAACAAATTTGAATTCCTTTATGACTTCTTTTTCTTTATGCTAAACTAGAGGATGTGGCTTTGATTAATTTGACTTGACAGTGTATTTAAATCTTTGGATGTTCCACATGGGAGCAAAAGTAACAAAAGTCACACAGAAAAAAAGCTGTGCCATTTAATGAATTTCTTTAATGTGGCGGAGACTAGAAGTATGTGTGTGTGTGTGTGTGTGTGTGTGTGTGTGTGTGTGTCTGTCTGTCTGTCTGTCTGTCTTGTTGGTCTGTCTCCATCTCCTCCTTCCTCTGTCCCCTTACCAAACACCTTGGGGCTCATTCTGAGGAACTAGTGAATGTGTTCCAGGCTAATGACTCACTTTGTTTCAGTGCTTGCTTTTTAGCAGGGTGTTTTCACACGAAGAGCACTTTCTGCAGAGGGTTTTTTGACACTGAAATCAAGTCCTGTGACTGAGAGCAGAGTGCATTAGTCTGATGCTAATCCTGTTATCCCTTCTCCTTTTCTGAGGTGTGTGAGTTTGGGGAGCTGAGCCTTAATAATGTAGTCATCACTTCTGCCTCATCCTGGGTCTCTGTTGAACTTTGCTTTTGTTTGTACTTGGAAAGATATTTTCAGTGACTCTTTAATAGTCATAATTGTGTATTTTGTGCAGTTGAAAATTAAATGTAACCTTTTGAGATTGCTTAAGACAGTTTCTAGGTTTTTGGTAGTTGAAGACACATTGATTAATTTTCTTTTACTTACCTCTATGCTGTTAAGAATGACAAGCAAGTAAACAAAAGTGACCTTATTTGAAAGATTTTAATGCAAAGTAATGTAAATAAATTAAAAATCCCAGAATAGTGAATTGTGTTTCTTACCAGGGTGTTAGCTGGAGCTTCCTTATACTGCATTGCCATTGTTGTTCATTGTTGTTCATAAACAGCATTTCTTAGGTGACATACTCTCCTTGTTAGAATTAGTGATCCCTTGAAGCACTCAATCTACATTGACTGCATACCTACTGTAGTGTCACTTACCACACTAGGTGCTGGGAAACATAAAGACAAAGAAGATGGAATCCTTACTCAGTCTTCGTGGAAGGTAGGCTGGTAAATGGATGCTTTCTCTACAGTTGACGCAGGTCTGGAACCCATGTAGTTCTATACTTGAACTTTAAGCAGTTTAGTACCTGTTGGGGCTGGAACAATGAGTAACACTTACTGACATTTACCATGTGCCAGGCACTGGTCCAAGAACTTGACCAATGAACTCAGTTCATCCTCACAAGCCTACACACTAGGTACTATAATTTTTTCACATTTTGCTGTTGAGGAAACTGGGGCATAAAGTGGTGAATAACTGTCCCAAGGTCACACCTAACGAAGAAGGGTCAGAAACACTATTTGATTACATGTAATCCATCTCTAGAACTTCCACTCTTAACCCTGGGGAAGAAGGGACATTTAAAGCAGTAGGAGAAGGGATATGCAGGGACAAGAAAGGCATGAAAAGCCATTGGTAGACTGTGCTGGCTACATACTTGTTTCAGAATTAGCCTTCTCTTGTGAAGACTGTGAATACTGAGCTGGCAAAAGACAGAAGACTTTCTGGTGAGGAACACTGTGCTGGTGGAGTGAAAGACTTCTGAGCACTAATTTCAAAACCTGAGCACAGTTAAATAGGTAAAACAGTTAGGTCTTTAACCATGATAGGAATTAATGAACCCTAGATTCTCCTGTACATCACAAGCATATACACACCACGCTAGTTTGAAACGTTCCTGGAATATCTTTACATTGGAAAAGAACGTCTGTGATCCTGTAACATTTGAAATCCCGGAAGTCGTTCCTTTGACATCTTCCATTTCCTCCTTCTGTGAATCAGAACAAATAAGATTTTAAGTACACTTGAGTGTTGTGAGGAGAACATAGGAGCTAAACTGTAGAAGATTTTTCTGGAGCACATGCCATTTAAATCAACGAGAATGGAAAAGTAAAATTCTTTACAGCTTGGTTAGCTGTCACTGAGCATTTTGGGTAAGGATTTGAGGCTTAGCAGCAGTTGTGTATGCCCATGTGGTCACAGCTGTTGCCCCGGAGGGGGCGGGTAGCATAGAGTGGCATAAGTTCACTTAGATTCGAAAGGACGCATCTTTCTAAATGTGGGTGAATAGTCATGTCTTTTTTTTTTTCTTTTTTGAGACAGGGCCTCATTTTGTCACCTAAGTTGGAGTGCAGTGGTGTGATTGCAGCCCACTGCAGCCTCAAGCTCCTGGGCTCCAGTGATCATCTTGCCTCAGCCTCTTGAGTAGCTGGGACCACAGCCATGTGCCACCATGCCTGGCTAATGTTTTTATTTTTTGTAGAGACAGGATCCAACTGTGTTGCCCAGGCTGGTCCCAAACTTGTGGGCTCAAGTGATCCTCCCGCCCCGGCATCCCAAAGTGCTGGGATTACAGGTGTGAGCCGCTGCCACTGACCTAATAACTTCTTCAGGGGAAAAAAATCATCTTGAGCTGGCCTTCTCTGTTTCGTCTGACTTTTCCCCCAGCAATGCTCCCCACTACCATATCTCAATCGCTTGCCTTCTTGGTTCCCTGTTCCAGGCTCCCTACACCAAGTAGCTATAATTCAGTCATGTTGTGTTTCAAGTTCCATGTACTTTCTAACAGTGTCACCGTTGTTAGCTGCTGCGGCCTCTTTCCTCTCTTACCTTGGTGATGAATGAGGCTTCCTTAGCTCACTCTTGCTGACTCTATCGGGTACGTTTTTTCCCCCTTATAATGATTGTTAGGCAGGGTTCTCCAGAGAAGCAGAACCAATAGGAGATATACTTACAGAAACAGATAAGGAATTGAATCTGTGATTATGGAGGCTGAGAAGTCTCAAGACCTGTAATCAGGCCCGAGACCCAGGAAGATAGGATGATGTTCAGTTGGAGTCCAAAGGCAGGAAAAAGACTATTACCTAAGCTTGAAAGCAGTCAAAACAGGAAGAATTCCCTCTTCTTTGGGGGAAGCGTGGTTTTTTTTGTGCTGTTCATGCGTGTGCCCCATGCACATTAGAGAGGGCAACCTGCCCTACTAGGTCTATCATTTTAAATGTTAAACTCATTTGGAAACACCCAGAGTAAGGTTTGATTAAATATCTGAGCACTCTGTGTCCCAGTCAAGCTGACGTAAAATTAACCAACATAAATATATTGTCCTGGGGAGTTAAGTTTGTGGACTATAGAAGACTCTAGCTTTTGGAGCCAGAAGCTCGCGCTCTGTGGCAGAATGCATTTTCCTTTCCTGTCCAGCAGCCATGTGGGAGTCAGTGTGTAGGTCCCTGTGGATCCACTCTGCAACACAGTTTGTCCTGGTCATCATCCATGTATCTGACATGTAAAGTCATGGGTTTAAAAGGTAAACTTTACAGCCTAGGCAACATGGTGAAACTCTGTCTCTACAAAAAAATAATTGAAAAATTAACCAGGCATGGTGGCGCATGCCAGTAGTCCCAGCTATTTGGGAGGCTACAGCAGGAGGATCTCTTGAGCACAGGAGTTCAAGGCTGCAGTGAGCTATGATCATGCCACTGCACTCCATCCTGAGTGGCAGAGTAAGACCCCTTCTCAGATAGATAGGTAGATAGATAGATAGATAGGTAGATAGATAGATAGATAGATAGATAGATACGCTTTTAAAATTTCAAGTATTAATAAAGATTGGGAGCCTGTTTCTCACTGAAATTAATGAAAGCTGCATAACTAAATGCATTTATAGTATGCCAGCTAGACTTCAATTTCAGATATAGAAATTTGATGGTATATTTTAAGATAAAGTGTATATATATAATTAAGTATATTTTCATATATGCTTTATTCCTTATATGATATAGTGTAAATATGTTTATACCATGCACCTTTATTTATTCATTTATTTTTGAGACAGGGTCTCGCTCTGTCACCAATGCTGGAGTACAGTGGCTGATCATGGCTCAGCGCACCCTTGATTTCCTGGGCTTAAGTGATCCTCCCGCCTCAGCCTCCCAAGTAGCTGGGACTACAGGCCTGTGCCACCACGGCCCACTAATATTTTTATTTTTATTTTTGTAGAGATAGATCTTACCATTTTTCCCAGGCTGACATGAGCCATGGGGCTTAATTGCTAAGATCATCCCTATTCCACTTTTGATATTCATCTACATCAAAATGTTGTCTGGGAGATGGGGACCCTATTCAATACGCTAATGGAAAGTATCGTCAGGACATAAGAAAAAAAATGTAATCAGGTTCATTTCTTCTCAGTTATCTTGAAGATCATGTCACAATAATTATATGGTGAAAACACTAACTACATTTCACCTTCCTCAGAGAAATCTTTTCATTAGGTGATATACCTGTCACATGAGCAACTGGTGGTAGAAAATGATGTTTTTCTTCTGTTTGTCCGAAAACTCTCTTAACCACACAATGTGCATATCAGGTGTGAGTGCTACTGGGAAGAATTATTCGTCAAATGTAGTGCGACCCCAATGTTACTGGCTACGGAAGAACTAGTATCTCTAAGCCTCGGGTATTTGTTAACTAGAACTGCTGTAAGGGTACAGTGCAATTTCAGTTTCCTATGAAAATCAAATTTAGGATATCAAGTTTAATCACCCCAATCTATTTATCTATGTG